TTTACCTCATGTTTTGGTTACCTAGTGCCGCTCTGACAGGAATATGCCACAAATGGGATGGCCTTAACAAACAGAGTTTATTCTTACAATTTAGAGGCATTAAGTCCGAGTTCAAAGTGCCAGGCTATAGGGGCTGCGTGAAAGCCCCTCAACCTTGAGGTTCAGCTCTGCCTCCTGCTTCCAGCCCACTAGAGCTAGAGGTTTTTCTTCACTCAGATGGCTGCTGGCTGCTAAGACTGACAAACCCAAGGTTGACAATTAAAAAGGCACAGTCCCGATGTTACCAGCCACATTGCAGGCCATTAATTTAAGTCCATTGAAAGTCCCAAGCTTGGCAGAGCATGGGAGGCTGCTGAACAATGACATGGCTATATGCAGGGTTCAAGCATGCCATAAGCTAGAGATCATTCCCAAAGCTGCTCCTTAGATACAGGAAGCAGATCACATCCCTAAAGCAGCTACTCAGCTGCTCCAATACATTCTACCATGGAGTTAATTACCAGTCTCATCGTGGGGAATAACTACATCCAGCAGCCCAGCCACTCAACCAGGCCCAGCCAAATTGACATACAAACGGAACTCTACCACATCTTATATGCCTGTCTTTTGTTTAGCTGGAAGCTACAGGTGTGGGTTCAATTATAGACCTGAAGAGCATCTAGGGGCCATAGTCTCAGTGATTCCATCAGGCTCTATCAGACCAGTAAACCTGGTTCTTTGTTTTTTTTTTTCCCAAATGATTTTGAGTTTTCTTCCACATTATTTTCCCACTCTATCTAGGATCTCCTACGTAGATCCCCCTCTGAGTGGTTGACAATGGTAGCCAGGCACCATCTAGTTCTTCTGGTCTCATAGTCATAGAGGCTGAGGAGCGTATGGTGTACTAGTTGCTTGGACTAATTGTTTCCTTGACTCATTGGTTTTCTTCATTCCTCTTTGCGCTGGATGAGTAGAGACCCATTGTTGCATCTAGATGGCTGCTTCCAAGCTTTTAAGATCCCAGTTGATGCTTGCCAAAGGAGGTGGAACAATGTTTTGTGTAGTATGTTACGCCAATTGAGCTTGATGTCCCCTGTGACTATGGTCCCCAGCCCATAGGTTCAACTACTTGGTCCCTCTGGGTAGCTGGCTGTGCCCAAGAAGTGACTACAACCTCGTCCCTTTGTCAACTTTGTTATACACCTGCGAATTCTTACAGAACATACAAAGAAACTTGTAGAAACATAGTCTGCCAACCCTATAAATGGTCTTGGTCCCATTCCCCCTGCATAGACATACCTACTAGTTCAGCCTGTCCACCCATCTATCCACCCTGTATATCCATGTTTGCCTTCACTGACAGTGCGGTACAGTATATGCAAAAGGGTTCGTCTTTATGTCTATACCTCCCATGTACCTCTCAATGGCTTCCTTTTCCTCAATGACAGTGAGTATCGATCACTCACATTTGGTGTATCGACTTTCTCTTCACCCAAATCAATACTTGTATCTCAACCAACAAAGAATGTTTCCCTGCATATATAAACCTTTCCTTGACCCTACACAGCAACGAACTAATACTATATTTGTCCTTCTGTGATTGACTTATTTCACTCAGCATAGTGTCCTCCAAGTTCATCCATGTTATGTGGTATTTTGCAGACTCTACATTATTCTTTAGTGCTGCATAGCATTCCATTGTGTGTATGTACCATAGTTTGGTCATCCACTCTTCCGCCGATGGGCATGTAAGTTGTTTCCATTTTTTGCTATAGTAAATAGTGCTGCGATGAACAGGTGTGCATGCATCCTGTCCTGGCTCTCACCTCTCTAGGATATATACCTAGTAATGGGATTGCTGAGTCAAATGGTATCTCCAATTCCAGCCTTCTCAGGAATCACCACCGTACTACGTTCCACAGTGGTTGTATCACTTCACAGTCCCACCTACAACATATAAGAGTCCCAATCTCTCCACACTCCTACCAGCATTTGTTATTTTCTGTCTCCTTGAACCTTGCCATTAGTGCTGGAGTGAGATGGTATCTCATTGTTGTTTTGATTTGCATCTCTGATGGCCAATAATCCTGAGCATCTCTTCATGTATTAGTTGGCCACCTGAATATCCTCCTTGGTGAAGTATCTTTTCATGTCCTATGCCCATTTTTCAATTGGTTTGTTAATTCCTTTGCTGTTGAGGCGTTGGGGTTTTCTATAAATCTTACAGAGAAGTCTTTTGCCAGATACGTAATTATCGGCAAA